AACATTACCTGAGTGTTATTAACAATTTTTCTCCTGCACTTATAGCTTCTCTGTAATTGGTATCACGTTTTGTTATACTATGTTCAATTAAATTCAAAAGTTGTTGAAATGTATCTGGGCTCATTCTATAACAGCTTTTGAACTGCAATGGATGAAGTTTAAGTTCATCTGCATAGACATTTGCACCATATTTTACAAGCTGTTTAAACGCTGGGTCAATCCAATATTTGCGTTTTTTCTTTTTTTTCTTTTTAAATTCCACCAAAATAATAAAACGTCGTCTTCATCAGACGATGACATGGTTGCTACTGCGTTGCTTCTATTTGAGAGCTAGAGGCAATACGTATTGTCTGTTGACTATTGTTAATTGATAATTGCTCGTTGCCTATTGCTCCGGYGTGAGAGCCGCCTTATACGAAAAACTTTAGATTGGTCATCCTTGCGTACTAAGATATCACCTTCATTTATCCAAACATATTTGTACAATTTTTCTCTTGCAGCTTCTTTTGTTTTGAATAATAGATGTCTTCTAACCTTGGTTATATGTTCATTGATGAAAATTCGCACAGTGCTGGACCAATTTGCATTAATTTGCTTGGCAAATAAATCACGATTTCTTTTACATTTTTTGACGWGATTTGACTTCATATCTTTATGACTTAACCATACGAGTATTTTTGAAAATTGATTATTTTTAATAGGAACTCTTACTGCTTTTTCCACTTGAATTGTGACATTAAGTTTGGTGGCAATTTCCTCGGCGATCTTGGCACAGTCATTATCTTTAGAAGTAGGTATTCCGGATATTTCAACCATATTTTCAAGTGATGTTTGCTCAATATCATCAACTTTTTGTTTTAAAAGATTTACCTCAGTTAATAAGTTCCTGTTAATTTCCGAGATTTTTTGGTTCTCTTCTCTTAATTCCTTCATTTCATTCAGTAATTTGGAAACAGTATTATTGAACTCATCAAATTTGTTGCCCATAAAATTGACGGAATCAGYTAAGCCTTRTAAGGTAACATTATGTTTATAAGTATTTATACCTGATTCAGAATTAATTTTACAATCCGAGCAGAYGAGCCTAGATTTACTATTTTTCGACAATCTATTAAATGTTGTTTCATTATAGCCCTGGCGCTGGCAGTAATAATGAAATTCTTTTTTACATGTAGAAAAGTTTAAACAATCATCCTTAATAATGTTATCAAAACATTTATTACAATTCATGATTGTTATTTCGGTTTGTATAATAATAAACGAACGTTATACCCAATACAATCGGAAAAAAAAAATAATAATAACCAAACACAGATAAGCGACTAAACCGTCAATATAAAGTATAAACGACCGTACTGTTCGACTGTTAATCGGAAACTAATATATTTAAACATATATTTATAATGAATTAAAGACATTAGTAAATAATTATTATTACAATATTAAATATTATTATTTATGTTAATAATTATTAATAGTGTCGACTGAATTGACTGTTGACGACAGATTTTTTATGTATAAATATTAAGTAATAATATTACTATAAAATTATATTGTTACATTGGTATACCCGGCGCGTGGCGTGTTTTCAAGTAGTTATTATTTCGACGAAACACATAATATTATTATTTTTATTTCAGTCTGTATTTGTATAACCTTGACAATTTGACGAACGGAGAGCTCCATATTATTATCTTTTATCTAAAATTAATGATATAAAGACGACGTGCATACCTAAGGGAAATTACAATTATTGGGAAATCTATACGTTTATCATTTGTCAAATGTCTGTGGCGAACTCGCCGAACTGGCGAACGATAAGAGCCGGCGCAAATTGGACCCAGCCCATGTACACGCCACGCGCAGCACACGTGTGACCGAAACCCAGTCAAAGTACACGTTTTTTAATAGTAACGCATATTGAACTCAGCCCACGCCCATCAGTGGCGTCATTTGTGGGGTGACAGGGTGGGCCTTTGCCCCCCCCCCTTACAATTAGCGAGCCGCTTTTAGTCCGGATATAGGCCGSCAGCGGCGCAAGCCCRCTAGAAATAAATTTTTCAAATAAATTTATTCTTTATATTATATTATGAATTATTATTCTATTTTCAATGAGTATTAATGTACGTCCTATTACTCTATTATACTC